ATTTTGATTTTGATTTTTTAAGATTTAAAAAAATAAAAGTGATGAATGATTGAAAAGCGTAAGCATGCTTAACAATTTCTTGAAAATTAAGTATTTTCAGAATTTAAAAAAATTTACTTAATATTTTTTTTTTTGAGGGAAATTTCAATTTAAAAAATAAATATAAAATTAGTGAAAAAGTTTATCAATTTTAATAATTAAAGTTATAAATTTTTTAATGAATTTGTAAATATTTTTCAAGAATACATTGATTTGCAATTTTTTTTTTTTTGAAAAAAAAAAAAAAGAAGATAAAATAAAAAAGATATATATATATATAAAAGTGAGGAGAGAGAGTGAGTGGGCGGTGGATGCAAAAAAAAATAGTGGGTGGAAAACAGATATATAGTGGTGGATTCAAAATAGTGTTTTGAATAGAAGATAATAAAAAAGAGAGATATATATATAAAAGAATGAAAGTGGGGAACAAGGAATCAAGCTTTATAATAAAAAAAAAATTGGGGCGGTGGAGTGCATGTACACCTTGGAAATGGTAAGTGCAGGGCTCCACTGTTCCTGCAAAATATCAAGACAAATGCTGCCATTGCTGTTGATGTTAGGGTGAAAAACCTTTGTCCTGAATGCAACCTTAGGTGGCTTAAATGGATAGTCCGGAGGGAAATGAATAGTAACTAGAAAAACTCCGCCAGCATAAGGACGGTCTGGAGGACCCATAATTGTTGCTTGCCAATGAAACATGTCTTCAGCAACGGGGCCTGCGCTGCAAGAGGTAGGAGGATCTTTCTGGAGATCCTTGAGCTCTTCCAAGATTCGCTTCGAAGCCATGACCAAACCCTCTGAGATCCTCCTCTGCTTTATTGTAGGTGCTGAGAAAGGAGGGACGGGACGAAGTCGATGCCGAAGAAGCCGAGGAGGTAGATGACGGAGGCGATTAGCGAGAGGACGGCGGCGAGCTCGGAGAGGGTGACGATGTGAGTGTTCTTCTTGCGGAGGGCACGGAGGCTTTGCTTTGGCGAGGTATGTGTAAAAAAAAATCTTAGCGGACTAGGTCGAGGTCCGGCGGACGGCTAAGGTGAGGTTGCCGCCCGCCGGTGAAGCGAAAAAATACTAGGTGCTAAACCTGCTCTGATACCATGTTAAAATTCAATGTATAAAGAGAAATAGAGAATTGTATTATTGATTGATGTATTTGATTGATGTATTTACAATTCCTATATATAGAAGAAAATGTGGTAGTAGGTGTAGGTGGTAGGTGGAGTGAAGTGGAGGTGGTAGTGGTAGGTTAGGTGAGGAGTAGGTGAGTGTGTGGTAGGTGATGGTAAGTGTGTGGTAGGTGATGGTAAATTATACAATGTACATTAACATGTCCCATATCCATACACGTGTCCGTGTCCGTGCCTGTGTCTGTGGTTCTTAGTCAATAAGTAATCCATCATGCAGGGGAAGGGAGAAACGGGATGCAAGAATTTCTTAGAATCCTGTGGATGCATTCATGACAAACTACAGAAAAGTTCGACATTCAGTGAAATGCACGGCCACTGTAACATAATGTTCTTGTTATTTTAATCTGATCATTAAGAGTATGACTTAAAACTTCCAGTTATATTTGTTTTCAGAAATTTGTATGGGTACTATTTTTACATGCCATGCTATAGGAGTTATTTCACGATATTCTGAGACATGTTTGGCTGCCTGCAATATCTGTATGTTTCTGTTTTAGTTAATCATGAGATTTAAAATTTCAATGTAATGCTCTGTGTTCTCAGGTCGAAACGAATAAAGTATTTCTGCGGGATACTACTGTCATCTCCCCTTACTCTATTCTGCTGTTTGGTGGCTCCATGAATGTTCAACATCAGGTATCTTACCTGTCTACTCTTAATGGAATAATACATGCACGAGTACCTAGATGCTGCTTATTATATTATATTTAGTATGTATTGGTTCTTGGTTTGTTACCAATGTGTATATATTGAATTTATTTGTCATTTGATCTGTTACATTGATTTTAATCCCATCCATTTTGGCTGGTTTACAACCATGGCAAAGGGCCAAATTAGCATTATTGTACATGTAACGAACAATGTTGGAGCAAGCGTTCATGTCTAATGCTACTCCAACTGGACAAGTACAAACATTCCTGCCAATAGGAGTTTTTGAGAAAAGTTTCCCCTTATTTGAACTTTTGGTATTTATATGTAAAATGAAGCGCATGTCATACGTATAAACATGATTGCACAAACATATAGTTACAAATATGAATGTACATACATGTATAATGAAAGTGCAAGGGTAAACTTTCACTAGCCTCTCATACATAACCTTTTTCCTCACCTATATTTGCTTTTTTATTTTATGATGTATGCTTTTGCACATAGTTGTTTAATGTTATAGGAACTAGTTTTTTAACTTTTGAGTCTTCATTGTAATGACACCTATGATTAATATACACTACAGGCAATGAGTTAATAATAGTTTATGCTTATTTAGACAAATCACATAACATAATTGTAAATTGGTGTGAATTTTTTGTACATCATATCCAACATGAACAATATACAAAGTACAATAAGAAATGAAGTATCACAGGTATGGAATGAACATGGTAAATCTTAAAAATATCAATCGAGGGCTCTGGTGAAGAACTCCTACCATTGTGTTATTTTTTCTTCCACTCAAGGATTGGTATACTGTTTGTTTTCCTATGGCAGAGTGGATTGGTCACCATAGATGGCTGGATAAAATTGGTAGCGCCTGCCCAAATTGCTGTCCTCTTCAAAGAACTCCGGTTAACACTTCATTCTGTTCTCAAGAAGCTGATTAGGAAGCCACAGGTAGATTCTGTTTTCCTGTTCAGTATCACTCATGTCATGAATAGCCATAATTTGGGTAACTATTATTTATTGCAACTGAATTCACCTACTACCATGAAATACATCTATTTTTTGATTATGGTTGATATTTTGGTATTGTCAATCATAGTTGTCAAATCGGAATTCGTATCGTGAATCGAAATGGTCTCGTACCGAATCGAATCAAATCGTGAATTGCAAAGATTCGGTCACTTTTTCTAAATTACTTGAAAACATATATCTACATACTTTGATGTTAAATATATCTTATGAATATAAAATATTTAGACTTAAATCGATGAAAATGTTATTTTGAATGATAATCACGTAGTTTAATAGGTAAGAAATTAACAAAAGTTCCTATGTAAGATCATGCTGGAAATTTGTGTTAATGTATATAATATGATAGTGGTGTTGGTGGCATGTATATAATATGATAGTGGTACAAAAGTTCCTATGTAAGATCACCATATTACATTTTTTTTTCTTTTTTAGATATTTCATCTTTTATTTTAAAGCCTAAAATATTTTAAAAAGTATAACTGATCTCACACATGTAATATTCAATTTAATAAAATAGCAATAGATAATTCATAGTGTAACTTTAATCTTAAACATCTTTAGAAGATATATTTTGATTTTTTAAAGGGGAAAAAAATGAGAAGAAAGGTTAAAAATATGTTGGGTCTGACTAAATCTGTTTGGATCCTATTAAACACTCCATGATCACTAAAATAACAGCAAATCCTGTATATATGTTGGTTATTTTGGTATTAAACGTTATAAGAAGTTATATTATGTCATTTTCACTAAAGAAATGAAGAAAAAAATAGTCGAAAATATGTTAGACATAATAATTTTAAAAATTGCATAAATCGTAAAAAATGAATCGAATCGTGAATTGATTGTGAATTATGTGATTCACTAGATTCACTTCCAAAATAGATTCACCCATAGATTCATATCGATTTTGCAAAAATTGCAAATCGAATCGCTAATTGTATTCTGATAACAGAGTTGTCAATATCGATCACTTTTTTAGTAAATCGTATTGGAAGTATATAGTGATGTATAGCACCATTTTCTGTGTGCATCACATTTTCCTACAGGTAATAAATATTGCAACTCCTTGATGGGGCTCCAGTCAAGATGCATTACCATTCACTTTATCCTGTGTTTGGATCTTGGATTTGTGAAGTGATTTGTAAAGTGAAAATAAAAGAGACGGGAAAGGTGAATGAAATTGTAAGAAAAATTTATGCTTATTCCTAATCAACAGGAATCAAACAACAATTCAAACTAAACAATCAAACAAGGACAATCAGACAACTGTGTAATTGATTCAAATGTCTCGAAAGAATGAGGACTTCTCTGGAACAATTGACAGTTACAAGGTACACAAAAAGTAATTTCGAAAGTGAAACTACTGAAGTTCACAAAAGTTTACAAATTACAGTGATGAATTACTCTCATTTCGAAAGAGAAATTACTCCTAAGATAAAACTAAATCTAAAGCTAAATGTTGTTGAGTTTGTTGATGTCCTCCTCCTTGCAAATTCCTGTCCTTTATATTCTCTTACTCTTTTCTTGGCCCATGATCGCATGATTTTCCTAAGTCTTGCAACTGCCATTGCTTAACTGCTGCAACTGCTCCCTCACTTCTAAGCTTTCAAACTTCATTAAAACTTCACCTTCACCTGTCGAACTACCCTTCTTTCATGATGTCACGTGCCCCTCAACGCTCTAGGCTTCCCATCGATAGAGAGAAACCTCCATTCTACACATATGACTCTTCTTGCAAGTTGCCCACTAAGCCCGTGACTTAGCCTGATAACTGCTCCATCATCTCGACCTAGCCTGTTAACTGCTCCATCATCTGAACCATCCAATACATGTGATCAACCTCTCTAATGCCACTTGTCCCTTTAATTGATGTAGAACTCTCACTCCGACTTTGCCACATGTCATTATTCAATTGATCCACCTATCGATAGGAAATTTACAAAAATTGGTGCAAACAATGCCCCCTAACGCTTTAAGAATGAAAAGTCTTGAATTCTTGAAGAGTTGTATAAAAAAATTAAATTGGCAGCAGTGCTTTCAACAAACAAATATCTATAGAACATATGCTTAAGGCCAAGAAATTTGGTAATCAAACACCACATATATTCCAAGATAGAATTATTGATAATTTGATGTTGTTGTCATTAATTGGCAAAATCACAACTCAATCCAAGTGAACTACATTATTCGACAGAGCATATTGGAAACATTTCAAGTATGTGATGTGCAAATGGCTAACTAGAACCACCTTCCACAAACACAGGATCTTTGTGCAAATACAACTATTGCAATTTCCTTTGGTCTTGTGTTCATATTTGATTAACACTATTTAGACTAAAAAAGTTTCTTTATGCAGTTGAGAATTTGATCACATGCTTTCAACTGTTAGTGTTCAACAGCGAAAACACACTTTTGCTTATCTAGCTTGCTTTATATAAATTTTCTGAATGTGTATTTTTCAAACAATGTTGGTTCATAACCATTTTACTAAAACTAGGTTTTGGTGTGATCTACAGATCCAAAAAAGATTTTGAATAACAAAAGCCATAGATGACCTTAAAACCTCGTACATATTGTCATCTTGAACAATGTCAAAATTTTCAAATTCATGAACATTTGAATGTTCATAATTTTCAGCCATAGTTGGCTTAAAATCACATCTTTTAAACACATTGTTTGCATCACTCTCTGAACTACGAGTTGCAACAAAAGACTAATTTTTTCTCACACATTAATGTGTTAGGAGCATTTTTCGAAAACCCAAAAAATATTTATGCCTTGTGAAATTGCTCCCTTGCCATGGAATTTTTATTCTCATGGCCTTTTGTTTTTTCGCCCATAACAATTGATGAATTAACTTTTTCATCATTCACAACCCTTAAAGGCGTGCGAAGAATAACTGAAAAACCACAAATTTTGGCCTATGCAAGAATTTCAATATTTCTCTCCATTGATGAATTTCGATCTCAAAATGGTCAAATTGATCATCAAGTTGACCAATCACTTTGTCAAAATGATTTTGTATTTCTAACCTCAAATAATATGACAATGGCGCTATTGTTTGAAATTTTTGCCGATCAAGATAATCAAATTTTTCTTGTAAATATAAAATTTTATTCTCACGTCAACACATTTCATCCTCACAAAACCAAAGCATTTCATCTATTTTTCTCTACATGTCATTCCATGGAAATCCATTTATTGGAACATCATGTGACTGTGTTTTACGAGATTTCTTTATGCTGTTTTTCAAGTCTTCTTGTACTTCATCTTGCCTTCGAATCTTGTCATCATTCCAAATTAGGAAGATGTCCCACTGGGCGTACCAAAAATTGTTAGTAAAAATTATGCTTATTTCCAATCGACAGGAATTAAACAACAATTCAAACTAAACAATCAAACAAGGACAATCAGGCAACTATGTAATTGATTCAAATGCCTCAAAAGAATGAGGGCTTCTATAGAACAATTGACAGTTACAAGGTAAACAAAGCAAACAAAAAGTAATTTCAAATGTGAAACTACTGAAGTTCACAGAAGTTTACAAATCACAGTGATGAACTACTCCTATTTCGAAAGAGAAACAACTACTAAGATAAAACTAAATCTAAAGCTAAGTGTTGTACAGTTTGTTGATGCTTTCTTCCTTGCAATCCCTGGCTTTATACTCCTTTCTCTGGCCCACATCTGCATGATCCTGCAACTGCCAGTGCTTAACTGCTGCAACTGCCTCTTTACTTCCAAGCTTTCAAACCTCATTAAATCTTCATTTCTACCTATCGAACTGCTCTCCTTCCATCATGCCACGTGTCCCTCCACATTTTTACTATGGCCAAACCCCTATTTTGCGCATGCTTGTTTCTGCAAAAATCCACCAAGTCCATGATGCATTCTGGTAACTACTCCATTCTCTGAATTGCAACTGACCCATTCTTCTCATGCCACCTGTCTCTTTGACTAATAAAGGACCCTTACCTTGTCCTTGTTACATGTCAACACTTGAATAGTCCACCTGTCAACATGAACCTTAACAAAAATGGGTGCAAACAGAATTATAAGAATTTTTTTTCACAAATCCATTTTTCTTTTCTTTTCCCTCCACAAACAAATGCATCTACAATCCAACAGTTGATTTCATACAGGGATATGCCATGGAAAGTGCTTCTATGTTTTTTTTTTTTTTTCCCAAGAAGCATTAATAACTTATGTATAAAATCAGTTTGAATCTTAAGGCGATGCTTCAATCCCCACACATTTAGGCTTACATGAGTTTTCATAGAGAGAGAGAGAGAGACACACAGAATATCTAGCCCACATGCATTGCTTATATGCCTTTTTCTTGGCATTGGACTCAATTGTTGCTTATTATTTAGATCTCTTAATAAACCAAATAACCTTTAATTAACATATTTTTCTTTGCTTCTCAGATGGCCACTGTTGTAGATAATGAAGTCATGAGATCTATTACACATTTGCTGCTAGAAGAAGACAAATCCCCGAAGTAATCAAGCCAACCAGGGAGGTACATAGGCATGTATTTGCTTCTCATAATTGCTTGGACCAAAACATAAGCAATTCCATCCAAGTTCATGATTACATTCTATGATTCACAAACAAGCAAGCTGGGGTAGTTTGTTCGTAGACCTGTTTCATCTATGGTGAGTTTTCCTGTCTCGTCTTCCCCTCCAGTAGCTTTTATTTGTGTCAATTAGACAAACCATAAACTCAAGAACGCCATGAAAGATGTATTTGAAGCATTTTGTTAGCTACTGTTATATGTTTAATTTGTTAGTTAAGGAACCTGTTCTTACTTGATTTGTGCCCTAAGTCATTCTTGGTTTTTCCAGTCTACAGGTCTTCTATGTACATGTGGTGTGTTATGCTCCAGACTACACAAGATACGAACTGAGTATAGAAGGTTTTCTTTAAAGAACGTTCTAGTTCAGGTTATTGACAACCGGGGCTGGGGTTCTGACAGAGAGAGAGAGAGAGTTGTAAACTATTTAGGTGTTTTATCTTGGAAAGTATAATTTTATTGACTACAAAGGCTGGGCATAGAAGCTTTCCTAAACCATAGGATGTATGTGAAACAATATTCTTATTTACATTCACCTGTCCATCTCTCTTATTTTTATTTTATTCTGGTTAAAGCTATTGTGTGTAACAATATAGCTGCAATTGATTAGGAGGATAATACTTCTCTTTTTCTTTTTCCTTTCCAATTTTGTTACGTACTTTTGACGGTCCTATGGCAACCAAAATTTTTAAATGCTTTGTAATGTGTTGCAAATGCTTTGGTTTAAAGGGCCTCTCATTCTCTGTCCAAGGGCTGTCAATGGATCAATAAAGACTTGAAAATTGCTATTTATACGAAATAATGCGTCACAGAATGATATAACAATGGTATTTTTGTAATTAAATGTCATTCAAATAACATTTTGTTTTAAAATAATAAGACTTAATGCAGTTACATCATACAAGTTCTGTGTAATTTTCTATATGTATATATCCTCTACTTGATCTTGGGGCAACTATGCATTGCCCGGAGGAGAAAGAGACGGAGGAGGATGAGAAGAAAACTGAGCAAGCATAAGAGAAGCAAAACTAAAATGCATAGAAAGAAATGTTGTTGATTGTTGTTAAGCTAAACAGTATAGATCACTTTTAAGCATTGCCTTATCTTAGAGGAGGCAGATTTTCTTTAAAAAAATTGAGAGTCATTTGAGGCCGCTTTACATCCTAAAAGAAAGGTACTATGAGTTTACAGTTTGGATTATCTTAAGATGGTCATCCAACCTGAAAGGTATTAGAATTGATGGACTTATTTTGGAGTTGATATCGACAATTTAAACTGTTTATTTTTTAAGACTCGTTGATTGAAATATTCATATAAAAAAATAAAAATGATTGAACATCAATAGTTATATATTTAATTCACATTTATTTATTTTTTTAAATGGACCCAAATATAATTTTAAAAATAATTATTCATTTTTTGTAATATAAATGTAATTCAAGCTATTGATATTTAATCATTTTTATTTTTTTTTAATGAATATTTTACTTAAAAATTCTTAAAAAAATGAATAGTGTGGATCATTAGTTCAGTCTCGAAATGGATCCGCTTCAGTCTCGAAATGGATCCGCTAATTTCAAGCGCTATCTCAAGTTCAAAAATACCTAACCTAAAAAAATTCAAAACCGGAAAACTTGGAAATTAAGCTTTTCTTTCATTTCTTGATGTGTAGTAAGATCAAGCTCATGAATTTATTATCATAGAAACTAGTCAAATAAGATTCATTTTTAGATGATGCGAACCTTGGGGGCATTTCTCTAAATAAGTCAAAATAATAAATTAATTTTCAAACTAAACCTAATTTTGAAAGAATTCTTAAAATAAGTTAACTCGTGATTCACAATTACGATTTCAACATATATACGCCTGGCTGGCGTGAAATTGGGAAAGTCTTAAAATTGTGATTACAAAAAACACTTTTGATTAAGAAATCGCGGTTACAAATTCTGCTTTTAATTATTTTTTTTTCTTCTGAACTCGCTGTTCCAAACCACGATTTTATCCAAAACAAAATTTGTTCTGAATTCGCTGTTGTAAATCACGATTTTATCCAAAAAAAATTTTGTTCTGAATTCGCTGTTATAAATCATGCTTTTATGAAAAAAAAATTTCTTCTGAACTCGCTGTTTCTAACCACGCTTTTTGGCCAAAATTTTTTCTTCTGAACTCGTGGTTATGAACCATGTTTTTAGCCTAAATTTTTTTTCTTCTGAAAGCGCGGTTCTGAACCAAGCTTTTTTAGCAAATTTTTTTTTTAGTTTCAATTTAATTGAACTATGAAGAAGAAATTTTTCTTTTTGGTTTTTTTTTTTTTTTTTTGTTTCTGTTGTCATTGTTTTGGTGATAATGTATTTCAGAATAATTTTTTGGGTTAAAATTGTTTTACTAAAACCGTTCTCATGTTAATTTTTTTTTCTTTTCTTTTGTCTTTATTTTGGGTTAGAATGTGTAATTCAGCATTTTTTTTGGCTTGACTAAAGTAAATTTATTTTGTTTTTTCTTGTGTTTGTTTTGGGTTAGAAGGTAATAACGTAATTCATAAATTTTTTGAGATTTAGTAAAGCCGTTTTGATGTAAATTTTTATTTTATTTTATTATGATTAAGATCATGCTCTTGTACACATTAAAACAAATTCAGCTAAGTTTTAGGTCTGAAAATTTTGGATTAATTTTGTATAAATTATAAAGTAACAACATTTGTAATCATTAAATAAATATAACTGATGTAAGTTGATTTAGGTAATTGATAAATTATAAATCTAAGTAATTTACATAAACTTATGAGTGTAAGTTGTTAATCTTGTTACTTTGAGTGTAGGTAAACTTATGAATGTAGGAAAATCCAACAATCTTATGAGGTAGGTAAACTTATGAGTGTAGGTAAACCTAACTTTACATCAAAGTAACAATATTTCTAATTTACCTAAATTTCTAATCATTACATAAATTATGAGTGTAGGTTGTGAGTTTATATAAATTATAAAGTGTTGGTAAACTTGATTTATACATAAAGAAATTTGATTTATACATATTCATGACCGCGCTTGTAAGTAAAAGAATAATGCTTGGGACCCCCTTTTGGGGGTCACCCCCTCACCCCCTTTGCCACGTGGCAGGGGGTGATTGGTGGAGTAGGAAAAAAAAGAAAAAGAAAAAGAAAAGGTAACCAATGAGAGAGAGAGGGGGTCAAAGGGGGTGGGGGGAAAAGGGGGGATGAATCATTACGTCTAAGTAAAAATATGTGTAAAAAACGTGTTTTTTTCAAAACAAACATTTTTGAACAAAGAAATTCAAAACCAGCACTCACTCTTCTTTGTCACAGACAGATCACACTCTCTTCTGTATCTCTCTCTCTGACACACCCACCCACAACAGCTCACACTCACATGAAACATATTAATTTGTAATAATATATAAATTTTATTTTTTATAGAATTCAGAACAATTAATTTTTTTAATTTTTTTATTTTTTCTTTTTCAAAAATTTATTTTCAATTATTTTTATTATTTTTTTTTTTTCCAATGAATTTTTTTTTTCAAAGGAGTGGGGGAATAACTGTCATTAATACATAAAACATCAGGGGTGTCAGTGTAATTGTACACTTAATAAAAAATTTGTACATTTTAAGAATAAAGTAAAAAAATTAATCATTTTATATAGTGATTATTATTTTGCATTATGCACATTATTAGTTTATATCATATTTAATATTTGGTCTGAATTTTCACAAAAATAAAATTTATATATATTAAAAATTAATATGTTGATGTGAGTGTGAGTGTTGTTGGGCGTGGGTCATGTGTCCCTTAACTAAATGTGTGTTTAGAGAAAGGGATGAGAGAGAGTGTTTGGAGTCGTCTGTGAAAAAACAAAGATGCATTGCTGTTTTGAATTCTTTGTTGATATTTTTAACATTTTTGCTTTATAAGAAGTTGCATTATTTATCTACGGACAGTCAACGAGTGTTATTAAAACCGCTGGTTGCTAACCACGTTATAAAGATAGAAAGAGGATTACTTAACAAAAAACATTGGGTTATGTATAATCAAATTTCCTTAATCAGATTTACTCTTTTAAAAAAAGATAATTACTTCCAAAATTTATGTATAAATAAAATTTCCTTAAAAGCGTGATTGTAACCTAGACAGATTATATCAATAATTTTGAATGTGAAGACATTATGAAGATTCTTCTTTTATTTTTCTGTTCATATAATTTTATAGTATAATTTGTATCAAGTATTGTATTTATTCAGTGCGATTGGACAAAATTGGACAAGTCATACAAAAATCTTAAATCATAGTGTAACTTTTTCTATGAAATTATTATTTTTTTCATTAAGTTCAAATAACTCGACTGATTTTGTATGACTTGTACTTAATTTTATTTCAAACATTGTTCACGTCATTTTTTAAAACTGGTGGTCCAATTAGTGAGATTTATGGACAATTAAAGACAAGTTGCTTTTATTTGCTCAAGCTTCTGCCAATAGGGACCTTAATGACAAAGTTATTTGGTAGGTTATTTCCTATGACATTATTCCCTAACTTAGGGAAATAACCTCATACGAAATAACGTAAGAAATAACTTAGGGAAATAACGTAAGAAATAACATAAATAAAAAATTAATAAGCTCTCATAATTTTAAGCAATATAAAAAACATAAAAAAAAATTATCGACCTGAATCGAGTCAAACTTGAGTTTCATTAATATTAATGAGCTCTCATTATGTGTTAAAAATTAGGTGTGCTCCTTTCAGATCTCAAGTTGAACTCTCAGTATGTGTCATGTTTATAGGTATTAATTGAGATTTGTCGGATCTACGTGGAAGGGACGTTTGGCGTGGATTGTAAGATTAGTCGATAAATACGTAAACTGATTCAGACATCCGACTATCATAAAAAGTTAAAACTTAATTGAATAAACATAATGCAGGCGTATAGAGAATAAGTCAATTGTATAATTCAAGTGGGTAAAAATTATCGAGAATGACTCATTTTATAAATCAAATATTTTAATTTTTTCAAACATAATTCTTAAACAATTTTTTTTTTTTTTAATATCAAATGTTTTCATAATAGCATTTTCCATGACGACTTGAAAGGCCTCTTTTGGCAAAGAAAAACAAAATTAATTTTTTTACTTCTAATTTTTTGTGGATCAAATTATTTGACCTCTAATGTTTATATTAATTTTTTTGTGGATCACTTCTAAAAAGTCATTTATTTATATCAAATTTATAAAAGGGAATGTCATGAAATTTAAGGAGGAAAAACTCAAAAATGAAATTCAACCCTAAATGGGGCATGAAATTCAAGTAAACTATACTTTTTATATTTAACCACGATTAGATTTGAATTTAGTGCATAAATTTAGTCAAACCAATTTTTCTTATCGTAGGGGCATGTGGCATCATCAATGGCATATTTTAAAGTTTTCTTTCTCTTTTTTTTTTTGTTTTTTGAGTCAACATTCTAAGTAGTTAGATTTTTAATTTATTAATAAATTTTCTCCTCATTTTCTTTTGGCTGAACTTGCTTTTCTTTTATGCCAAACATCCCTTTATACTTTCCATAATAGAGAAAGAAAAAATGATATAATGATCAGTTGGATCTATGGACTCAGGATAATT